GGTGCTTGGGCAGACAACTGGTTTACCTGAACCGAAGGAGAAACTCCTTGTGGCATGTAGTCACTCATGTAGTCACACCATCTAACAGGCCAGACATTTCTATGAGCCTCAAGTTGTAGGAACCAAGACTGGAGCTTGTGGAACTCCCAAGGTCACCCAGAAACTTCCTCAAGGGAAAAGGGAGACAGGTGGCAAACTGAGGCCCTGCAGAGTGGCATGACTCATCTCTGGGAAAAAGAACGGGCTCCAACATGTGCACACAGCAGAGGCACTGTCAAGAAGTGAAATGAGGAAGGAGAACAAGATGTGCAGATGATAAACCACTGGATCCACTCCACAGCATGCTCTCGAGTGAGCTGCAGACTCGATAGCACCTCCACTTGGGATTTAGGAGTGGCCTGACCAACGGAACGCAGAGAAAATATTACACCACAAGGCTATCAGTGAGGAGAAGAGAATACAATTAACTCGTAAGACATCACTCAGATAGACATAAGAGGAGATTAGGTTTTGAAAAATATTAAGTTTGGAAGTAAAAGGAATGTGTGCATGTGCTTGTGTGGGTGTAACTTTGGACATGTCACAGGAGAGGCCCGATCATGGAAAAGGCCATCTTGCTTCTACATGGTAAGCAGAAGGTCCGCAAAATAAAGAAAGCCCCTCAAGAAGATGGATTGACAGAAGGGCTACAGCCATGGGCTCAACTATAACATGCACTCTCAGGAAGGCACCCGGCCAATGACGGTTTCTTTCTGTGGTACACAGGCTCCCTGCACTGGAACTGACAACAACGTGTGCGTATTTAAACATTTCCTGTGACCAGTGGACAGATACAGATATGTTCTCACTTCTTAGTCTCCTTAGGGCGCTTTCCAAAAAGGTGCTGTCAGAGCAGGCACGTCCAAGGGGGTCTGCCGTCCCAGTTCAATTCCAGGCACACAGGTCAGCTCACAAGGTTATGAAGCATGTTTTGGGGTTCCAAAAGGATAGTCATGATAGATTGCTCTAGAAGGACACAAGGAAGTCACGAGAGCTTATTATGAAATGTTAAATTGTTCTCGAAGGACACAGGGAAGTCACGAGAGCTTATTATGAAATGTTTAAAGAAAATGAGAACCGCATTGGTGAGAAAAAGGGCAGGCAGGTGGAAATGTTTCCCTTCATGAATATGCAGCTGGCTCCTTCTTCAAGCGCATGCTATGCTCGGGGGATTTCACTGGGAAACGTCACCCAATCCACCTCATGACCCTCCCCTAACCCTGCACATTTCTTTTTGTTCTCCAAACTCAAAGGACATTGGAAAGGAATCTGCTGTGAGCCTTTCCAAGATATAAAGCCATCCATTGGATATGGCATAAATCCAAGCACGCAGAATCCCTTGGGAGATGGCTCAGAGATGGAAACACCACTTGCACGGTGTAGAGACCCCTCATGGAGAATATGCTGAGGAACGATGACTTCCACATGTTGCTATTTTTGTTTAATAAAGGTACCTATGATATTTAGCGATATTTCCCCCCTCACAAACACTCTTCAAAATGCACACAGCGCATTCCATCCATATCTATATGAAAACCAAAACCAAATTCACGGCCATCCAGTCCATGCTGACTCACAGTGGCCCCTGTGGGTTTCGGAGACCATCGTGTTTATGGGAATAGCAAGGCCAGCCTTTCTCCTGAAGAAATACTGGCTATATATAGACATGTAAAATGTTCAGTGAACAGGTGTTGTTTCCCTGAGAACAGGAGAAAAGTTAAGCACAAACCAGACCAAAGTCCTGGTCAAGCCGACTCAGGCTCACAGTGAGGGGCAGGACAGGGTAGACCTGCCCTGGAGGTTTCCCTGCGGGAGTAGAAAGGCTGCCAGTTCTCCTGCAGAGCAGCCGGTGGGTTTGCGCTGCTGATCTTGCAGTTAGCAGCCCCACGTGGATCCGACTGAGTCACCAAGGCTCCTTGGAAAGAGCTAAACATCCCAGAAATATTCAACCATATGGAGATTCCAGGGCTGCTTCCAGAGAGGACGTTTCCCAGAGCATTTCCTTAACTCTCAGAGGACAGCTATAGCTCCCTGGATTCTATCCCTGGCCTTCCGGGCCTCCGTGTGCAGTCAGTGGTTCCCAAGCTGGCTCTGACATTCAGGCAGGTCTGCTCTCTCAGGCCCGTCTCCTCCTCCTCTGCCTCACGGGACAAAACTCATCTGGGGCAGGATCGAATGTATTTTCTCCTGCTCGCCATGCACTTGCTTACCTACTTCCCCAATGAGCCGTAGAGCTTGTTCCGAAGCCGCCTCTGCTTCAGTCTTAACACAAACCTGTCACTATTTTCAGCTTTGAGGAATTTACTCATAAGGCCTAAGCTGTGCTCATCTGCATAGAACATTGCTTAGTACAAGACATGAAGTGACCAGGGCTGTCCTGGAAACCCAAGAAGCACAGCAGCCTGTAACCTGATGCGTTGTTCAGCAGAAGTGGGTGAGGCCCCTCCTCTTCCAAGTGTTCCCGGGTACACTCAGAGGTACACATGTAGCTTATAGCAGTGGCCCAAGCTAGATATTTAACGGGACCATCAGAAGGGAAACTCAACCCAAATCAGCACAACGCAACCCAGGCCAACCCACACTCATTGCTGTCTAGTTGCAACGGACTCCAAGCAAGCCTACAGGACAGAGCAGTACCGCCCTGCAGGGGCTTCCAAGGCTGTAAGTCTGCTTCATAGAGGCAGTGGGTTGAACTGCTCGCCTTGGTTAGCAGTTAGGTGCTTTAGCTACTATACAGACAGGGTTCCTTCTTAGAAGAAAAGCCAATCGCAGTATGAGGACAAAAAGCCCTAACACTGTGCATAGAATTTAACCTAGAAATTACTCATTATAAAGTGGACAACAGCACTTTACTCATATTATTAAAAAAAAACAGCAGCAGCAGCCCTAAAGGTGCTCAATGTATTGTTGCCAATAGGTGCTGTCTAGTTGGTTCCACCTCAGTGTACCAGGGACGCTGCACAGTCTCCACTTGTATTTGAAGTGCCTTCAACTTACGGTGATACAGCACATAGACAATGCTATGCTGCCATCCAAAAGGTTTTCACTCGTCAATCTGTTTCCAGAAGTCTACTTCCGGGTCATTCTTCCTAGGCCGTTATTAGTCTGGAAGCATAATTGAAACCTGCCAAACCAGGGCTTACTCTGATGGTATGTAAGTTGCCACTGGCAGAGCTTCCAGCATCACAGCAACATGCAAGACACCACAGTACCAGAAAGGAGCAGACCAGTGGCAGGGTGCTGCACAGACCACGGTGTAACTATATTATGCTGCCTTTAAAAAATAATAATAACAAAGTAGCCCTGGGGGAGCAGTGCTTAAAGCACTAAGATGATAAGTAAAAGGTTGGTGGTTCAAACCTACCAACGACTCTGAAGAAGAAAGACGTGGGTGTCTGTTTCTGTTTAAAGATCTACAGCCTTGGAAATGGTTCTGCTCTGTCCACGTTGCTGTGTGTCGACTTTGTCAGCAAGCCTATGGGCGCCGGGGTTCATGAAGGCACTGAGGTTCTGGAGCCAGAGGGAGACTCCTTCTCAGTTCTATGGAAGCATCACTTTGTTTAAAATACATGAGATCAAAAGACAATCTTCTTTTTAAATAACAGAAAAGAGAAAGAAGCCCATCTAGCCATGGAATGTTCTTCAAGACAAAGCAAATCATGGTCCTATCCAAGGCACCTTTATGAATTTCTGTGAAATTCATAATTATAATTATACCACTACACAGCACTTCCTGAACAGCTCCTCGCAACCAGGTACTGCTCTGAGATTGCCTGGCTCCTCACCACAGCCCACGAGGCAGAAACTGTCATGATCCCCATTTGACAGAGTGTAGGAGACTGGGGCCCAAGTGCTAAGGAACGTGCCTCAATGCCCACCGTGGTGGGGAGCGGCAGTCAGGGGGCACACCCAGACACGCTGTGCCTGCAGCCCTTCCAGTCTCCTGTAGTGCCGACGTAGGCCTATGAGAATCTGCAGACTCACAAGGATGCATTCGCTCCTCTTTCCCACACTCACTTCTGCACTCCTTGAAGACAGAGTCCTATTAGATCATCCTTAGCTTCCTAGTCCCCGGTAGGCACTGTATACATGTTGGCTGTATGAGCGACTAGCCTTGACGTTTGCGCCTGATTAAGAGGGCAGAGGGTGGTAGCAGCAGCTCTAAGCCACGGGCTGTTGCCATGTCTTGTGCCAGATGCGAAAATGCAGCCTTTCATTTAATCCATGCACTTGGCCTGTGCGGTGGGCACGAGAATCCCTATTTGACAGATGAGCAAACAGGCTCCATCTGACTGACTTCAGGCCGAGCTAGAGCCTGCGGCCCCCTTACTGTACAACTCGCCACAGGGAAAACCAGGCTGGACAATGGGGACTTCAAAAAGTGGGTGGGGAAAAATTCCATCATCTGTTAATTCAATTTTCCCATGAACTTTCAAAAATCTGTTCGTAAACTTTAATGCCCAGTAAGCAGTCATTGCAAAGAACTCAGAAAGCCTGAGAAGGTGGGAAGAGGGGAGAGAGATTTGATGCAAATATGATGATTATGTTTGGCTTGTCGGGACACTCCCAAATATTCACAAGGCATGGTAGTAGGTGGAGCAGTCAGGGGCGTAAGAGAAGGTCCTGCTCTTGGCGCACCCTGAGAAGCGGCCAACTGCTCGTGAAGACGCAAAGATCCCGAGGGAGTCCGAACAGCAGGGTGGAAGGAATGCCTGCGCCGGCTGTTAGTGTGCACCAGGAGGAAAGGGGCTCAGGGGCTCGCCCAGGCTTGCAGGCTCAGCAATACTGCCTCTTGGCCTGTCAGGCCACCCGGCCAGGGAAGCCGGGAGGGGAGCACCAGACAGGCAGTTCTCAGGACCACCGAGGCCAACAGCCCCCGAGACCAGCCTGAGCACTGAGCCCGAGCAGGAGGGTAACGGGGTTGGATGGGCATCATGCCGGCCCTGAGCAGCGGGACTCACGTTTCTCCGTGGACTGCGCGGCGTGGAAGAGGGTCAGGGGCCTCTCGCTGCAGGAGGGGGGCTTACAGTCGCTGCTCTTCTTCCAAGACAGGTGCAGCTGGGCATCGTTGAGCGCGGCGGCGTCTGGCACGGTGTTAAATATCTGCAAGGCAAGTTTCAGAGAGAGACAGAGGGACGTCAAAAACACACAGGTCTGAGTTAGTTCAGCAAGAAGAGAACTAAAGGGGTCCCAGCATTTACTCAGGACGGGGTTTTAAACATCTCTAGGTGCTGGCATTGAAAACCAAAACGGAAGACACTCAAAAGTACAGCCAGAACGCGCCTTAGAAGCAGGGACGGCGAACCTGGGTCTCAAGTACTTTGGACGTGCAATCCAAAGAGAGCAGCCCCCTTGCAAAGGACATAATGCTCGGTTGAGGGGCAGCGGACAACGAGGGGACCCTTGACAAGATGGACGGGCAAGTTGACCAGGGGCTCAGATGTGAGAACAGACGCGAGGAGGTGGTACTTCGCAGGCGGCTAGGACTTGGAGCCGGTTCAACGACACCCCGTGACAACAGGACCTGGCCTTAAACATTCCTTTTTGGAAGCGTCCACGCCCATGGGTCCTTGCGGCTCTAACCCATGCTGCTCGGGTTTCACCTGCTCTCCAGGGGAGACAGGACGCAGCTGAGGTGAGGAGAAGCCACGTCTATCAACACTACTTTGTTTTTACATTTTCGCTGCGGTGAAATAGCTGTAATAAGACATTTGCCATTTCAACCATCTTCACAGGGACGGTTTGGTGACATTAATGACACCCACCATGCAGTGTAACACCAGTACTCTCTGACCCATTACTTCCCCGGCTGTAACAAAAGCTCTGTGGCCCTGCAGTACTTAAATGGATTTGGACTCTGTGCCCAGGACCTAGTAATCAACGACCCTTCACTTTTCTCCCCTGTTTGGTATTTCCTAGCTCTTGACAATTGCTTCACAGCCTTCTCAGATGTGAAACCTGTGGGTAGGTGACTTGCCAGAGAGAAGCCATCCAATCCCAAGCTGCAGGAGGGGGGCTTGGAGTCCCTGTTTCCCTCCTCAGTGACCTCCACGGACACTCTCTCATCCAGCACCTCTGCGGTTCCTCTGATGCTGAACTTCCTATGGTTCCTACCTCGCCCCTTGATGATAGAAGTAGCATACAAACATTACAGACGGTTTGGAAAACCTTAGAAAAGTTATCTAGAAGACAACAACAACAAAAAAAAAAACAAACAAAAAACCCCCAACTACCCTCAGACCCCACAATGCTAGCATTTAGAGCAGTGGTTCTCCACCTTCCTCGTGCCGCGACCCTTTCATACAGTTCCTCATGTTGTGGTGACCCCCAACCATAAAACTATTTTCGTTGCTACTTCATCACTGTCATTTTGCTACTGTTCTGACTCGGGCAACCTCTGTAAAAGGGTCGTTTGACAGCCCCCAAAGGGGTCACGACCCACAGGTTGAGAACCGCTGATTTAGATTCTAAATTAGAAGCCTTTTTTTTAAAGCATTTATTACTCTTTTCTTTCAAGTCCATGGTTTAAAAAAACAATGAGACTATTTTGATAGATAAAACCACATTAACTTTTCATCACTCTTTTCTTCCTGCAGATAAAAGTGCAGCAGAATTCAAGATCTAAATATTGGTCTGAGTGGCTTAAAAAAGGAGACAAGTAAAACAGAAGTGGACCCGGCATCGTTAATGACATACAAGTTCACTTCAAACATGACAGGTAACAAATGCACTCACAACAATGGCCGGCATGCGTACAGTGCTCAGGCTGCCCTGCACGGCCCGCATGATGGAGTCACGTGGAGCTCAGCAGCCTTGCACGGCGTGCTCTCTGGGGACCATTCCCCCGCATGATGGAGTCACGTGGAACTCAACTTGCATGGCAGGTGCTGCCCTCACCATTTTATCACACAGAACTGAGCCTCAGAGACGTTGATCCTGTTGCTGCCATTTGGATATAATTACAACTGCCAACACAGATTTTTATTTTTCCCCAGATGGCTTCTCGAATGCATATCATAATAAGAACACCAATGGAAGAGCCTGAGTGGCTCAGAGCAGCCAATCCACAGAGAGGACCACATGGCCGGCCCCACTATGAGACACAACATCCCTCACTAACTAACCCACAGCCCTACAGAGGACAACACTGGAGACACAGTGTGGGAATTCTACCCGATCTGATCCCACAACACCAAGGCAAAACACTAAGGGCGTGGAACAGAACAGCAAGGGGAACAGAGCAACGAAATCCCCAGGGAATACCAAAAATAGACTTTGGGGCCAGGCCTTGGCACCCCAACAGACTCGACTGGAAAACACTACTAAAGGCCAATGGACAGTCCTTGAACCAACTACAAGCTTTTCTTTCTTGTTGTGTTTTGTTCTTTGTC